GTGGCCACCAGGGAAAGCTGGGGAGGGCTAGCCTCCCACTAGTTCGAATTAAGTGGCTACACAGCCCTTAATTTGAACTACTTAATTCGAACGAGGCGTTAGTCCTCGTAGAATGAGGTTTACCTAGTTCGAATTAAGCGCTCCGCTAGTTCGAATTAAGTTCAAACTAGCGGTTTGTATGTGTAGCACCTATTAAAGTTAATTCAAACTAACGTCTGTTAGTTCGAATTAACTTTGTAGTGTAGACATACTCCGTTGACGGAGCCATGTAAACTAGTTTATCCAGCATAGTCAATGAAGCGAGGATTTAAGTAATCCCTGCTTCATTAAAATAAACATGGCCACTGCGCTGTGCTGACGATCAGCTGATCCGGCATAGCGCAGCAGTCTAGATGCATATCTGTTGGCTGGGGAAGCCTTTACCAACTGATCCTGTAAACCTTGTTTCGTCCTTCTTCCACGTTTGTCACTGAGGAGCATGCGCAGACCTCCCTTGATCTGGGTCCTTTGTTTGCTTAAAGCAGCGGTATCTCTGTGATTGCTTTAATTAATCATCACCTGGCTCCACGTTTTTAGCCTTACAGTTTACTTGCCCCAAACATGCTCCAGGCTCCATTCACACACACACTCTTCTAGCAGGATGGAATGCAGCTTAGAGTAAGTTACAGAATTTAAAAAGCAATGTGGCTGAATGTTACAAAGATTACAAAGTCGAAAAGTTCAACAATCACAAAGCTTACAGTAAGTTGCCAAAAAAGCAAAGCAACTAAAAGTTACAGAAACAATTACAAAGCTTCAAAGCTCATTAGTTACAAAGATGCCTTCCAAAGCACAGCAACTGACTGAAAACAATTCCCATCTTACTCATCTAAAAATCATTAGTAATAAAGTGACTTTGAAGAAAGATGCCCCCCTCCCCCAAACAGTGTTCACAGCAATGTAGTCAGCAGCAGGTTTTACCATTCTCTAAGTCATGTGTTAGCAGGACCTTAAAGTTTAATGCATTTATAGAAAATTTATGTGTAAAATAAGTAGCTCCAATTTACTGGGTAATAGCTCAGATGGAGGCTTTACACAGCAATAGCCGAGACCTCTTTACAAGTGGCCCTAGACTTTGTAGACTCACTTCAGGCCTCGAGGCTTCCCTTGAAGGTCCAATACATGGGGAGGTCCTACAACTTCAAGGGCAAGATCCTGTTCTCAGAATAGACAGACTGTAAGCTACATTCCCACAAAGACTCCTGGGCAACCATGAAGTCACTGGGGGCACACAACTCAGCTTCCCAAAGGCACCCTTTCCATCCTCAGCCTCCACAGCAAAGGTTTGTGCCCAGCCAGCGCCCTGAACAACAGTGCAAGTGAAACAGGAACAATAACGGGAGGAGAACTGTGTCTCAGCAAAATAACCAGAGGAACAGCTCCTCCAAAGCCCCTTAAGGCCTGAAACACCTTTTGAAGGTGCATCCAAGGGCAGAGCATCAGATCTACCGAATCCCACCCTTTCATTTTTGGCTAGACTATCCTACTTCTACTGTGCGTGGGCCAATATTACTTAGGACCGTTTGCTCCTCCGCATGGTTGAGGTTGGATATTCCCTGCAGTTTGCATCCCCACCACCTTCCGATCCCCCTTCCCCTTCAGGGA